GAAAGCCACTTGACTGGTTTCTAGAAATGACACCATTTCTGGAATACACTCGTATTTTAATTTGATTCCTGTGTCTTTTCTTTTAAGCCTGTTCCTCACAGTGTCCATGGCATCTACTGTAGTCCAGCAGATGGAAACCCCATCCTCCTCACAGCAGGCTCAGACATGAAAATAAGGTACAGTATCTGATAAAGGAAACTTTCTCTGTAACACTTGAGAAGGATATAAAATGTGTTTGGATAGTGAGGTTAACACTAGGCTATTATTCTCGGTACTTAAAATGTTGTAGTGCGTAAAATTCTCCACCCCTTGTACGGATAGCTGTTAATGCTTTATTTATACCCAATTTTAGTCTATTCTAGGAAAATCTCTTTTCCTAATGCAAAAGAAAATAAGTTATGCATTGGTAAATGTAAGCTAACGATCATTAGCTCCTCCACTTGTCCTGAGATTGTCAACACTTGTTTCCTCTTCCCTAGGTTTTGGGACTTGGCTTACCCAGAGAGGTCCTACATTGTGGCCGGAAGTACTAGTTCTTCGTCTGTGTCCTACTATAGGAAAATAATCGAAGGCACTGAAGTCGTCCAGGTACAAGCAGTCTTGTTTTCCTTCAATGTCCGTAGGCACAAAAATGACTTTGGCCAAGAGTGGCAGTATTAAAGAAAAACATTTGTTTTCTTTTGGTTTTCTCTGTTCTTTAAATTCACTTTTATTAAGGTATAATAAACATATAAAAGGCACACACATAAGGAGCTAGCTCGAAGCAAGCACTTCATACGCTTGCTCAGTCCTTACAACAGTTTACAAGGAAGTACCTTTATTAGAAAAGATCAGCACCACAAAGTAACTTGTCTGAGATCATCCAGGTAGCAAAAAAAAAAAATAAGAATTAAAAATTGGAACTCCAAATCTTGTGTTCTTGAGTTGGGCAAAAACTTCAAACGAAATGACATACCTGAAAGGGCCTGGGTTCTAGAATGTGCTCAGAAGCTTCCTCTCTGACAGATAATGTATTTACATCCACTGGTCATTTATACCCCTCTATTACTTACTTTCCCATTTTGCTTTTGATGGTGGCAAAAGGTAATATGCACACATTATTCATTTACCTCTTTGTAAGTGGCTGCTACTCACAGGAAATGGGAGGTCATTTTGGACTTTTTACTCCATGTATTTGTGAAAAGATGACTACCTCACAGGAAGTTTTAGCTTTAAAGACAACCACCACCTGTCTCAGAAGCAACAGTATTCACAAGAGGTACAGTGTGGTACAGGCTGTTAACTTGTGGCTTTCTCCTTGACTTTTAACCATGAAACAGGAGATTCAGAATAAGCAGAAGGCGGGACCAAGCGATGACACCCCCCGGAGGGGCCCAGAGTCTCTGCCTGTGGGACACCACGATATCATCACAGACATCGCCACGTTTCAGACAACACAGGGCTTCATTGTAACTGCTTCTAGAGATGGGATTGTTAAGGTGTGGAAATGAAAACTTAGTGGTCTGTATAATTTGTAATAAAGTTGTACGTTTACTGTAACTTAAGAGCAAAGGTATTTTTAGAGGACAGAAGTGAGATTCATTTCATTTTCAAAATTATGTCTCTATATAATACTGTTTCATGATTTAACAGATCCCATCCAAGGTGGTTAAGGAGGCTGCACTCAACTAGTGTACTTACACAATAAAAAGTCCCAGGTACTGTTGTCTGGCTGATTCTTGCAGAGATCTGTGTGTGTCACGGAGGTGAGGAATTTAGAATGCCAAGACTAAGTTTATTTTGTACTGAAAAAGATGGGTCATAAGCTATTATAATGTAAACACATTTTTGCTATTAAAACTGCTATTCAACCCAGCCAATAAACTATATTCAAGCGTCTTAAGAGTTTTTTGGTTTTGTTGGTGTTTTTAACAGTAAACTTTAGCAGAAGAATAAACTCTCCAGCAGTATTTGTTCTGAAGAAATGAGGAACTCAGTGTCACAATGAATCAGTGACAGAACTAGGCCTGATGCCCACATTTCTGGACTCTAAGTATTTTGTTCTTTCTCCTTTATCATGTCTTTCTTCTGTTTTACAGTCTACCTTATTTAACACTAGAACTAATCTCCTGCGTATCAGCCCTAGAAAAATGTCTCTCGGCCACCATGACTATTTCTTATCGGCTTTATCCAGTGTCAATTATTTATTAAATGCATGAAGAGAGAGAAAAATATAAAGATTAAGCTGTTAAAAACATACCAAAAATCTATACTTCTAAAAAAGACAAAAATTGGTCTTTCCCACAAAATAAACCCTTCAAATTTATCAACAATTACTTGTACACGAACTTAATTCTCTCTCTACATTTAATTGTCATCCATTTGCAGAAGAGTTTATAGTGTTTAAAATAGTTCAATTTGAAATTAGTTACATGAGTCCGTAAACCAAAAAGTTAAGTAGATAATCTGACTCTGGGGGAAATACTACTTAAATACTTCAAAAACTTAATTTTCTGTAATTCTATGATTCAGTTATGGTAATGACAGTTTGCAGTGCATAGGTATGGCTTCACGAGTGAGTGCACTTGGAGGTGTTTACCTATCTAAACTCATCGAAAAACCCTGTCATTCACAAAGGTCTGAGTTAGGAGTCTAGATGTCGATGAGTCCACATAGCATAGGGGAGCAGTAGGGTTTGCAGGTTTGACAAAGTGTCATGTTACATTGCTTCTGTTTCTCTTCGTGTCTGTTAAGACCATATCTACAAGGTTGCTAGATTTAATGTCTTCACAGGTTGGGGGACAATTGTTTGAGACAAGCTGTTAGGCTGAGAAGGGCTTCAAGCCTGGAGTCATTAGCGAAGCCACACTGCTGATCAACACGCAAAGGGGAAGAAGGGAGTGGGCCGAGGGAGATGTAGTCTTCCTCTCCCCTGATCCTGCCACCACCCATTCTTCTTCCCGCCCGCTTAAACTCTCCCCTTAAAAAGGTGGTGGGGGGGGGTCGTTTGATCGAATTGTTACTATTACAGTCTGATGCCATGTTGAAGTTGCATTGTTTGTTTTTTGACTCGCAGCTCCAGTGCACAGATGATAAATAGGAGGCATGTCTTTTATAGTCAATTAATTTACATGCTTAAACCAAGAAGCACCGTTGCTTATTTATGCGATTCTTGGTTTAAATAGGGTTTTATTTAGGGGTGCCTGCTCACTCGGTTAAGTATCCATCTTGGGCTCAGGTCATGATATCATGATTTGTGGGTTTGAGCCCCGTATCAGGCTCTGTGCTGACAGCTCAGAGCCTGCTTCATATTCTGTCTACCTCTATCTCTGCCCTTCCTCTGCTCATGCTGTGTCTCTGTCTCTCAAAAAAGAGTAAGTGTAAAAAAAAAACAAAACATTTTTGCTGCTTTTCCATTTTAGGAGAAAGAGGTGAATCATGGAAAATGTTTTCTTAGGGATTTTTTAAAAAGAAAATATTTAAATATTTACAGTATGTTTCAGATCCTTCATCTATTAAGGATGAAAATGATGATCCAAACTGCTAAAATAATCTAAGTTACCAAGGGCAAAATTTTTTGGTGTACTTTATCAATGCAAAAAAAAAAAAAATAGACAAATACATATTAAAAGCATTTCTAGCAGTAAATAGAAGGAGTTTCTGCTTAATCCAAAGTTAACCAGGAAAATCCCTTTTAAAATACCTCTTAAACATTGCTCATCAATTTGCTCTACTTGAAACAAAAATTTTTCCTAAACTCCTGAGCACCGCTTAGGAGGTGAAGAAACCTGATGTGCTTTATTCTTCTCTATTTCCTGAGTATGAAAATGACCTTTTAACTCTTGCCCCTCTGAAGACATTGGGAGCTATCTCTATGGAATTGCCTGAGTAAGGATGGCAGAACTGGTTTTAAAACACAGTGTAGGTGGCCCTTCTTTCCTGGCTTTTTTGAAGAGCAATATGGAAAAGAAAATCACCTACTGGTCTTAAGTGTGAGTAGCCATCTGCCTCACGCATCCAAGCAGAGTCTCCCTCCCTGGAGAGAGTGATGTTCTGCCCAGCAGGGCCATTGTTACTACCTTTGGTGCCAGCTCTGAGAATTCGAGGTGAGGTCCACACGTTGCGTCTCAATGTTTGGTGTTTAGTTTTTGGAAATATTAGCCCTTCTTAAGATTAAGAATTAGTTATGTGATCTTGCTGGGGGTGAGGCGGGAGCAAGCTGTCAGAATGCTGCTAAAGGCTAGGCGCTCGGAACACCCTTCCTGCTTTTACTCTAATCTCTGTGCATCTCTGCAACCCCATATGGATTTGTAGATTAAAACATTAACAACTTTATCTTTTCCAAACTCAATATGCACGTAAGACTCTATTTAGATCTCCATCAGTCCTGTTTGATTCTGTTCACTATTGACTAGCTACCTGATGGGTAAAATTAACTCAGCTTCGCCTACGACAAGTTGTCTTTACTCTCCTTGCCTAAAGAATATATGGATTAGTAAAATATATGACAATAATAGTAAAGAATAAAAGTCCATAAAAATGGCCAGGCATGAGGCTCTATATAATGAAGGAACTTCAGGGGGAATTTGCAAGTTTCTCAGTGAGTTAAGGAGGAGTTGGAGCAGAGAAAATGACTCTGCTTCTCTGCTTCAGCAAACTACTGCAGCAGGTGGGAGGAAACCTTCCAGCACAAGCCTCTCAGAAGGTTAGCCATTCTATACCGACGCAGTGATGTCTTTAAATGTCATCACAGAAAGGCAAATTATCAAAATTATGACATACAAGCATCAATTTCTAAATGTAAATGTTGGGGCATCTCAAAACGTCAACTTTGGTTACACAGATGAGCCTTAATCAGTACTAACTAGAGAATGAAAGCTTCGTTTGCAGAAAGTGGACTGAACAGAGACCTGCAGTCAAAAGAATTAGCATTGGCTCATATATGCATACGGTTTAAAATTTACCTTCAAATTATATCTCCATTAGACTTTTCAGAACATTTCTTTCATTCTTCCATTTTTTAATAAGTTCTTGAAAGTATCAGAGTGCTGGAATTATCAGGAATGCTCAAAGAAATGGGCAAGAAATAAGTGCCAGGGGTCAAGTTGCCTGATAATTTACAACCTGTGTTTAGTCCAGCCCTCCAGAGTGGACCTCTGGATATGGCTGGATAGCCAAACAAAAGTTGCCCATAGTTATGGCACTGAACTGAGTCACTGAAACCCAGAGGCTTACCATAGGCTAAATCCTTCAAGCACTTCCTTTATCGTGTTGTTTTGGAGCAGTTTTTATCACCTGTTTTCCATTTTTAAAGGTATGGGATGTGTTTCTGGTAAGATTTCGAAGAACAGTATAGTCTCTGCTTCCTCTTGCTACTCTTGAAAGATATTTTTTATCTTGAAAGAATTTTGCCCTCTGCAATGCATCTCTGAGAGCAGCTTTATATGGTCCAGGAACAAAGCTGTACAACAAAAGAAGAGAAACATCACAGAAGATAAATGCCATTTCCACTTTAATAGACTATGTTAATCCCTTCTTCCTCAAAGTTGTCACCCCTTTCCTTGTTCCATCCTCCCTTCAGGGAAGTTAAGACTGAAGATTTACACTGGGCAGATCTATCAGAAGCTGAGAATGAGACAATGAGATATTTTTCGTAGTATGCAAGATCATTTCAACAGCAAAGTTTCTTCTTTAAAGAACACGTTCCGCCCAGAACGTCATATGGCTGGCTCCTGATTATTCAGATTCAAAGTCAAATGCTACCTCATTAGAGACGACTGTAGCTATAAGTTCTCCCAGTTTGCAGTCTAGTGGGTGCTCTGCATGATATGCTCACTTTTTGCATTAACACATCATTGTCTGAATTTTTATTTACTTATAAATATCTTTGTGATCTATTCTCTTTTCTATTCCCCCTCCCCCCAGGCAAAAAAATGTCACAAGACCATGTCATATAATCCTAGAAATCCCAGGAACCTTAGAAGGGCATATAGTGGATACTCAATCAACACTTATCTGATGGAAGCATGAATGAGTGTCTCCCTCCAGCCCTCCCTCCCATCCATCCATTCTTCAGTCTGTTCATCTATCCATCCATCCACCCATCCATCCAAATGTTGACTCTCTTTGGAAGGCACTGTTACATACAATGGGGGAAATAAAAAATGCCCAGTCTGGCAGGTTCATAAAGAGTTTGGGGGTCATGAATAGCTCAACAGAAAAGGACAGCTGGGGTCCGACTCCGGAAGGCCTCGAATGTCAGATTGAGAGAGCAAGGAATCACAGAAGCCAAATACTGACTACAGGCTCTAACCTAGCTCATAAAACCACGCTGGTGGGAATGTCCTATATTGGCCAGTAAGGCAGTCAGTAGCCACACAGGGCTATTAAGAACTTGAAATGCGGCATGACTGAGGAACTCAACTTATAATTTCATTTAATTGAAAGCTAGTGGTTACTGTATTGGACAGCTCAGGAAGGGAGGCATTTCAGGCAACTCTATTTTACAGGGAGATGTTAAAAAGATCTTTAGATCCATAAACGTCTTCTATTCCAGCTCCTCTACTTACTGGCTGAGTAGCTCTGAGAAAATCACTCAACTAGAGTGATCCTTGTTTCCTCAGGTGTAGAATGGGAATAAAAACAACCTACATTGCGAGCAACATTTGAAGTTCTCTAGATTAGTTACCATGGTGCTCTGGTGGTTACAGACAAGGAAACTGAGCACATATAGAGGTAATATCAGGGGCAGAACTAACCCAACCCTCTGATACTAAGAGCTCCATATCACTTCCATTGAACTGGGTTTTTATTTGGGACACTGGAAAACTATCAAGATGCTGGAATAAGAAAGTGAAATGAAAAATGTCATGCTATCAGGAGCATCTGGATATGGGTGGAGAACCACAGGAAAGCAGATGGCCTGGGGCAGGTTGGACAGCTAAGAAGGTAGGAGGAGCTTGGCACATAAATTCTTTGTAAATTTTTTTAGAATGAATGTGAGAGAGCCTGGTAGCCTAAGACGAGAAGAGAAGGTTTATCAGTACCTATAAGCCTCACAGATTTGCTGTATTGTGGTCAAGGGAAGAGTCAAGAGAACTCTAAAACATTGACATCAGGAAAACAGTACCAGTATTCACTCGAAGCACCATTACTTCATATTTGGATTTTTCTGCTTTCACCAGCTTTAAATCTGATCTCTCATGAAAACAAAAATAATTAGAAGATGAGTAAGCCAGAGATAAAGTATTTAAAGTGATTTCACTTCTCTGTCTCACATACACTTGCATGCATGCATATGTGCACCTCCTCCATTTTCCTCCTCCCCATATTCTTCTTGCCTCTAATGAGAGAAGTGAGAGCAACATCAAACCAACAAAGAGAACCATGCCATTATATACCATATGTCTGGGCTTCTGAAACTCCAATCCTAAAGTGTATCTCCATTCGCTTCCATCAGTGCTATTAGGAATGTACCAAGCAGATCAGCAAACTTCTCCCAGTTACCAAGAAAGCTAAATTTGAGTGCAAATACAATTTTCTCATACCTTCTCCCATTTTTGCTCTTCTACTTTCTTATTTCCGGAACTAAATATTAGGAGACCAGATTCTCCAAAGTCATAATCGTCTATATGCACAGAACATCTCCACCAATCATGGAGTATGTGTTATTTGAGTCTGGAGCACACTGTTTTTGTGTCTTGGGTTTATTTTATCTACACTGGTCTTTCCACCCCTCTGCCAACTTCCCCCTTTCCACTGGATCCTTTCTATGGTAAGTTTAGTTATCTTTCATATCTTCTTTCCTCTTTGTTAAGAAGAAGCTGTTAGGGGCTCCTGGGTGGCTCAGTTGGTTGAGCGTCCGACTTCGGCTCAGGTCATGATCCCACAGCTCATGGGTTTGAGCCCTGCGTCGAGCCTGTGCTGACAGCTAGCTCGGAGCCTGGGGCCTGTTTCAGATTCTGTGTCTCCCTCTCTTTCTGACCCTCCCCTGCTCATGCTGTCTCTCTCTCTCTCAGAAATAAATAAAAACATTAAAAAATAATTTAAAAAAAAGTTGTTAAAATTGGTAACTGCTTCTGTAGCATGACATTGCTAACTTTTTCCTTCCTCCAGTAGTTTTATTCTCAAAAGTGTTGAACATGATAAATATTGTATCTCTGAATTTTTTTTCCCCACACTTGTACGCAGGAGCTTGCATTGGATAAGCATCTGTTAAGAATCCTTTGATTATCCTGTTTGGGAATCATAGAATTTGTTTTTCCTTTTACTCCATATTTGTTGAGATACTTCTTTACTGATTGGTAACTCCACAGCAGGCAGTCAAGATAAGAAACAGGAATGAAATGCAGCCAATCATTTTGCATCTTGTGCCCAACTCCAGTAAAGCTTGCGGAAAGATGTGACGGCTAGACAAAATGAGGTGGGTAGTACTAATTTTAGACTTCAGTTCTCTGTGATCACAGATTCCTCTATCTATGCAGATAATCAGGAGTCAGCTATGCTGCATTTACTAGTTGACCGGATGCACTGGAGTAGAAAACACAGACAAGATTGCTTCTATTTCGAGAAAAAATTTTAATACGCATTTTGTGTGTCTAGAATACATATTTTGGAAGGCAGAATTACAACAGATTTATTACTTCTATGGCATTGGTGACTGTGTCCATATTTTACAGTTTGATTGTTCTGGCTCTGGTCTGTCACTGCTTTAAAGTCTGGCACAAGAGCTTCCCTGACTGGATGAAGCAATAAGCAGGTGGCTTTCTGTCTTTTATTGCCTCTGAGCGGATCTAAGCACTTAAAAAGAGGCTGCCCTACAATCTCACCCATACTGACCATCTGTCTTTTGGTTGCTTGTGTTCAGTTCCTTTCTTTTCCATCTGATAAGAACCGCTTCTACCTGCATTTCTTAAAAAAAATCTCACGGTGGAATGATCTCATTCTTATGCAAGTCATTCTGAGACTTGGCAAGTCATCTTTATGGTCAGGCATCTTGCCTCGCAGGCATTCTCAGGTCCCTCAATTTTGTGCTCAATTCCACCCCACTTCTGATAGGCTTAGGCAGGGAGTTTCAGAAGCAGCTGCGTGGCTTGTTACCTTTTATTATAGTCTCTGGTCACTTAGAAAAGGCCTGGGGTGTCCCAGGCTACTGAAACATCAGGGAGTTCACCAACAGTGATAGGGATTTCAGGTCTCAATTCCTGATGTCCCAGCCATTTTCTGTGTGTCATTTCACCATTTCAGATACATAGGAGAAGCTGAGCCTCCAGTAGATCTAGGGCAATGTGGAGAACAGGGAAGAAATATCCTGTCCAAAAGCATGGTAAGTCCCCCCCCTCCCCCCACTCATACTGATCTTTAAACAAAATGCATTTGTAGGAGTGGTTTCCCAAAAATGACTTAATTTGTATAGGCTGGCTTCCGTATCTGCTTTTGGCAGTTATAGCCGGCTACATAACAGATGAAGCCCAGTGCAAATGCAAATGGGAAGCTCCCTTCCACGCCGCCAGACACCTGCAGCAGGGGGAGCCCTGCTCTTTGTGGACTGACTGCACGGGCCTGTTTGAGGCCTGAGTTCAGGAGGCATTTGCTGCTGGACAGTTCCCTGTTTCCCAGCAAGGTAAAGAGGTTGGAGGCAGAGGCTTCTCGGCTTCTGGAGGTGGGGCATTGATTGGGAGTGCTTCTCTCTGGCCCTGATCGCCGCACAGAAATGCAGGCAGTGCACTTAACTAAAAGCAGGCACGCTAAGACATTTGCCTAAGTGTGGTTCCCAAGGGCTGGTACACATTGATTTCACTCAGATGGGTGGCATGTGTGTGTGTTAGCACAGCATGGTTTTCCACTGAAACACTCTCTTAACTACTTCAATTATTTCTAATTCTAAAAAATTTAAGTATTCGTACATGCAAAAACATACGTATATTGTTAAGTTTTAAAAGAAATTTTGCTTTTGTTGATACTCTTAAAAATAATTAAAAAATGTGAAGTTCTCATATTCCTTTCTTTGTGTATATATATATTTTCTTCTATAACATCTTAAGAGCAATGTTTAGCTCATTGGTTTCTGGAGTTTTAAAATTTCCCCTAAGAATTTAGACCATAAACTTTCCTAATAAATGACTTCTAACATATCCCATAAGTTTTGACATATTCTCTTATATAGTTCTAAATACTTTAAAGTTTCATTAGAATTTTCTCATTATTTAGGAATGTGGTTTTAATTTAAAAATGTACAGACTTTAAAAATACTTTTATTAATTTCTAACTTAATTGAAGTCTGATCAATTTTGATCATACGGCATCATTCTCAGAAATTTGTGGATACTTGCTTGATAAGTAAAATATTGCACAATGAGGGGCACCTGGGTGGCTCAGTCAGTTAAGCATCCGGCTTCAGGTCATGCATGATCTTGGAGGTTCATGAGTTCAAGCCCCGCGTTGGGCTCTGTGCTGACAGTT